AGTAACAGCCATAGATTTTATAAGATTAAAAAAAATATCTTGGCAGCAAGGTTCCTGAGGTGGTTATTCCCAACATTTGTATAGCTAGACCAGAAGTCCAAACTGCATTTAATGTATAGTTATTTAAAATGATAGGCTAACTGGAAAAGAAAAAAAGACAAAACCGTTTACAACAGCATGTTGTAGCAATTAAGGGTATTATTCATAAGCCAGTTCCTCCAGAAAGCCTCCGAGCTGTTGCCACCCACCCCTTCTCCTCTCCCATCTTCACCAGTTGCTTTTTTACTTGATTATGGTGACAGGAGGACTGCCCTTTGGAGGGCCAAGCTTTGGGACAGCCGTCCTGTGACCACCTCGGTCACTAATGACTACCTTTGACTGGTACCTTGGCAGTTCCATAAGTAGCCATCAAGGAAATGTCTAACTTTCAATGGCCTTCTTTTATATGTGAATTTTAATTAAGACTTCGCTGCGACGCAGAGTCATGTTGGCACAGGTGATGTTGCACGTCCTTCGGCAGCGGTGCCAGATCCGGATTTCAGAGTGTTTGGTTCACAGCCCAAATGTTTTGGTATGACGCAGGTTTTTCCGTGTGGTATTTAGCTCCAAACTGGCGTTCCTCAGTTGTCAGCTGTGCAGTTTGGCACCGCGGTGTGGGACTTTCTTCAGCCCCCTAATCCCAGGGCTGGCTGAAGGCCACCGGGCTGTGCTTGTCCCCAGATCTGAGGAGCGTTACAACAGCTGCCGCCCAGCATTTTATGGCATCCTAGGTGTCATTTTTAAGTCTTGTGCAACTGGGGTTGTTCAGCCTGGAGAAAAGGATGCTGAGGGGGAGACCTTCTTGCACTTTATAACTCCCTGAAAGGAGGGTGTAGCCAGGGGGGGTCGGTGTCTTCTCCCAAGGAGCAGGCGATGGGACAAGAGGAGATGGCCTCAAGTTGTGCCAGGGGAGGTTTAGGATGGATATTAGGAAGAAATTCTGCACTGAGAGGGTTGTCAAGCCTTGGATGAGGCTGCCCAGGGCAGTGGTGGAGTCGCCATCCCTGGAGGGATTTAAAAGCTGGGCAGACGTGGTGCTGAGGGACGTGGGTTAGTGGTGGGTTTGGCAGTGTTGGGTTCATAGTTGGACTGGATGATCTGAAAGGTCCCTTCCAACCTTGACAATGCTATGATTCTGTGTAAAACTGGGGTTGGAGCTGGCTCAGCCTGAGGGCAGGCTCAGCTCTACCAGGGCAAGGCTCCGTGCCCTTGCCCGTAGCCAGCCCCCAGCTCGCTTCGTGTGCGAGCTCCTTTGTAAAAGGTCCTTTCCCAGTGAGAATAATTCCTCCCCCGGAGAGGAGGAGAGCCTGGGAAGGAGCAGGGGGAGGCAGCTCTTGTCCTTCCTCACCAATTCATCCCGGGGACCAGGAGGAGGAGACACTGGTGGGACTTCATGGACACGGGCTGCCACCTGCTGAGCAGGGACAGGGAAAGGCGCCTGCCTTCCACCCGCAGCCGGGCGAGCTCTACCTGATTCTCCCCTGGCAAAAAAACTACTGCCACCTCCAAGGGTGGTTGTTTAAATCATTTTAAAGGATTTTAAATCTGAAGAGATTTGATCGAGAGGTTCAAAAAGACTGAATTACTTAGTGACCACTATCCATTCTTGGATAAGTGAGGGGGCCACTGCCTGGTATAAACTTATTTGCCTCCCTGTCCCCCAAAGTACAGCAATAAGTGTTGTCCTCTTGTCTTAGAGACAGACCTTGAACCTGAAGGCCCTTTGAGGGATCACAGCCGTCCTTCCCTGTGAGCTGTGGTGGCCACTGCGGTCCCCACCTTGAGGAGCGGAGGTGCCAGGAGATGACCAGCCTCGGCAGGGACAGGGGCTGACAGCACATCAGAGCTATTTGGGGGTCTTGTGAAACATTCCCTACAGCTTCAGCTATCCCTGAGAGATGTCTGGAGAGAGAGCTTCATGGAGCAGGAAGGAAGGACCAGGAAAAGACAACAAAAGAAAATGTAAGTCTTCTGATGTTGATAATCTGGAAACTGTATTGATCCCATTAGTGACTGTAGGATAATCATAGAATCATAAAATGGTTTGGGTTGGAAGGGACCTCTTCCCAGTATCCCTGCCCTCACAGACTTTTTTTGCCGCTTGTCTCTCTATGGAAACAGCACTTTGTCACAGCTGCTGGTTTACTGGGGGAGCGAGAGACCTCTGTTTAAAGCTATGGGAAAGGGCCCTCTGGTGCTCCGGCTGCCTTTAAAAGTCTTGCTTTCAGCTTGGAAAAGAACTTGAACTAAAACCACCGAAAAGCCATCCAGAAAACCCTGACTGTACATGAAGTTTTGTGATCGTTCCCACATCCCTCTTAACTCCAACCGTGGCTCCCTGCCGGCGGCTGGATGCTCAGGGTGGGCATCCTGGGGCAGCAGGAATGCCAGCTGCCCTCTCCAGTCCAAAATCAAAGCACTGACAAACAGCAAGAGAGGAATGTGAATTTTGAAGGTTGGTTGGGTTTTTTTGGTTGTTTTTTTCCCCCCTCAAACCAAGAAAAATGTCCAAGCCTTTCCCAATAGAGTTTTATTCTTCTCACAGATCTGTTTGTGTTGCTTTCCTTCCCTCTTCTCCGTGCTGGAGACCATCCTGGGGCTCCCTCACACACCGTAACCTGCTTGTCCTCCTCTCTCTGGGCAGAAACCCTTCAGGCTTTTGTGCTCTGTCCTGCACTGCTCAGCCGTGTCCTTTCTCCAGCTGGCAGCCTGTGGGAGAACTTTAAAAATCATTGTTTATTTGGTGTTGCAGTGATGCTGAACCTCTGGGGCTCTCCCCTGGTGCCTCACCATCGGAGGGGTCTGGGTTCTGGGGGGTGTCCGGGTGTCTCACAGGGTGGCAGGAGCCCTCGTGCTGTTGGAGGGGTCTGGGTTCTGGGGGTGCCCGGGTGTCTCACAGGGTGGCAGGAGCCCTTCTGCTGTCCCCAGCGTGGGCACCACCAGGACACCCTGGGGAACTTCTGCACAGCCCCCTCGCTCCTGCCTTGGCACTCGCAGGGGGCTGAAGTGAGAACATCCTTCTGGCCTCTTATTTCTGCCTTCCCCTTCTTCTACTGTTGTTATTTTTAAATGACAATTGTTCTGGTTTTGCTATTTAAGTAAGGAACGCCAGTGTTTTGCAAAGTTTTGGCTTCCTGAAGGGTGAGCTTCCCCTTTTGAAATCTGCTTTTCAAAATGTGCCAAGTCATTCCCTGGGCAAGTTTCTCTTTCAGTTTCCTCTTGCTTTTCTGATGCTGGGTGTCCATAAAACAGGAGAGTTTCGATTTTCAGAGTCATTTCTGCTGCTTTCATTTTTTCTCTCTTACTTTTCCTCCCCTACCTGCAGCTGAGAAAAGAGCTATTTTGCGCCGCTGGTGACCACGGCCATGTCCTTGGGGAGGAAGAGGCTGGTGATGGCAGGGGAGCAGGGTGCTGAGCAGAGGGTAAGGACACCCGAGTGGTATCTCAGCGTGTGGTACCACCACGGGGCAGCAGAACCACCTCACTTCCCAGCCCTGGTGCAGGTACTCAGCTTGGTCAGACAGCTCCATGCTGCACCGTGGGGCAGAGACCTACCTGCTCCTTTGGGAAACAATATAATCAATCCTCTTTTTTGATGCACAGTGTTCTAATTAAGAGAAAAAGCCCAATTATGATGTCTGCTAACCACCGGAGTTAATGGCAGCCTGTGCTCAGCCTTGCAGACATCTCCTAAGGAGAATATGACTCATTGCTCAGGGACTTTTTTTTTTTCTTTTTTTTAACCATCCTGGTTGTACTGAGGTTGGGGAATTCCAGTATGATGAAAGAAAAATTTCTCAAACCGTTTCACTGCCACAAATTCATGAGTTTTGGTGCCTCCTGGCTCAGATCAGTGATTCTGCCTGACCCGCTGAAGCCCTGAGAGGAGGACAACCTTAGTTTCTGGTGGTCAGATGGCTCACTAGGAGAAAGAAAGCCAGAAGCCAAGAAAACCAAAGGTTCAAGTCAAGCACCTGCCAACATACCATTAAGCTACATTTATGTCTTCCTGGGTGGGATGTGGTACAGGCCTGTCTCCCAGGGTTTGTGAGAGCACAGAGCTTTCCTTCCTTCCTTCCTGTCTTGGCTCTTCTTCTGCATAACTGCAACCGGAACGATGACACAGCCCATGCTCTGCTGATGTTCTGAAAGGTATTTTGTTCTCCTTCATCTGTGGAGCCTGCCCCAACCACAGCCATGAACGATGTGCTGTCACAGCACATCAGATCTGTAGGCACGTGGTGCAGAGACAAGTCTCTTACACAATGCTATGCCTTAATCAGGCCACAGGTCTGGTGCACGGCCATCAAACAGAACCACAGAATGCTATGGGGTTGGAAGGGACCTCTGGAGATCATCCAGTCCAACGCCCTGCTAGAAAAGAGCAGGTTGGATGGGATAATGTTCAGGCAGGTTTGAATGTCTCCAGAGAAGGAGACTCCACCACCTCTCTGGGCAGCCTCTTCCAGGGCTCTGCCACCCTCACAAGAAAGAAGTTCCTCCTCATGTTTAGGTGGAACTTCTTACATTCTAGTTTGTGCCCGTTTCCTCTTGTCCTGTCACTGGGCACCACTGAAAAAAGACTGTCCCCATCCTCCTGACACCCACCCTTTAAGTATTTATGGGCGTTGATCAGATCCCCACTCAGCCTTCTCTTCTCCAGACTAAAAATCCCCAAGTCCCTCAGCCTTTCCTCATCAGAGCGATGCTCCAGGCCCCTCATCATTTTTGTAGCCCAGCCACAGTAGTCTGAAGGTTTTCCTTCAAGGAAAGTCTTCCTGCTTTACTGGGTGACCTGGAAAACTACTTCTGCAGGGGAGAAAGGTAAGGTGGGATTTTTTTCAGGAGATTGATGTCCCTTTTTGTGATTTACTGACCTGAGCAAAAGAAAACCTAAAAATGACACCTGTGGGTTGCACCATAAGGAAACAGAGAAGTCATGCACTATATGTACTTTTTATTATTTTTTTTTAATGGCAATGATGTTTTCAGCACATCAGTTCCTTCATTAGAAAAGCTGGTGTCAGGACACTTCCAGATGGAGACTTCAGAGCTTGCGCAGGTCACCTTCCAAAAACCTCTGCTTTGGAGCTTGCTGCTCCAGCTCCTGCCTCTTTGAAGGGCTACAGCATTAGAAAAGGCTTGAAATCATTGCAGGGAACAAGGGAAATGACAGCAATTTTTACTTAGTGCTGGGAGCTTTTGCCTAGAAAACTTGCACATACATACACATGTATAAATACACACAAAACCTCTGTACACAGACACACGTAGGGGCTTTTATACAAGGGAAACATCCTATTTACAGCACTGTAGAATTTAATTATACAACAACATCTATATTAAAAATTAATCAGGTGTGTAAGTTTTCTTGTTCAAGTATTTTTCCTGGTGCACTCCATACTCTGTTCACACCAGAGTTCTCACTTTGAAAAATGCAACATTCCACAATATTATTGTAAGAAAAACACTACATTGATTAAGTAATCCACAACCATACATTTAGACTAAACCTTTTATTCAAGTAAGACTCTTCCTTCTTCTTGTAGTGAATCCTACAGCTAGACTCTTACGTTGTATCTTTCAGTACATAAGCTGTAAAACTTCTCCTAGTTCTTAACAACTGAAAAAAAAAACCCTGAAACTTTTTTAAAGGAAAATAGTGCTAAAAGCTTTGTTATTTCTATTATTAGAAAAATAATATCTGGTCAGGGGTAGTTTTCTATGCTATGTCTCTTCCAAATGACCAGAAAAGATTTTATTTAGCTCAGCACTGCCATTGTCAGAGTTTCTGTTTTCCTGAGTGCAGGTTTTGCTCTGCTCAGTGTCGTTGCTACAAGACAGTCCCCCCTCCTGATGGCTGAGAGCCGCTGCCTTCAGTTTTTCCTCAATTTTATCAGCTGCAGCACACATTCTAAGCTCCCTCAGGCTGCTTATTAGGGTACAGTAGGCTCCTTTTATCCCCTGCCTTTGATACCAGACTTGAAGCAGCTTAATCTTCCGCTCATCTGTATCATTAATGTAATCCTGAAGGGTTTGATCTATGACAGGTTCTGGTACTCGGCAACTACGAACAAATTTCAAGACTTCTTTGAGTGTCATCTGCTCCGCGATATCAGTGATGTGGCTGCTCAGGTCAATGTCTAGAAACAGAAAAGAAAATCACTGCTCTTGGCACTTATATCTTGCTGTTCTTTGTCACCCGTGCTCAGAGTTGATACTCTTCCTACCCAAAATGGATTAAGTTTCAGGTATTCGTGACTCAGTACGTTCTATATGTGATTTTTTTTTTTTTTCTTTTAACAATAGGTAGTGGGTCTCCTTTTATGTGTTCCCACCAAATGCTAGACTAGTAGTGGGTCTACTTTTATGTGTTCCCACCAAATGCTAGACTATTCAAATACTGAGGCTTGCCCCCATACTGCTTTCTATGGACACGGAGCCTTAGTTCCCTCTGTAACCTCTTCTGTCCTTCTCTGTCATTACAGTCTGGTGGTGCCTCGTGTCCCCGTTGTGCTCAGGGAAAGGCCCTGGAACAGGAGAGGTCTTTTGTTGTGACAGACCTCAGAGCTCATGTTCTCTCCCTGTTGTGTGTAACTCCTCTGGATTTGCCCTGAACATAAGGTAGGTCTGTGTTTCTGCAGTCCCATACTGAGTGTGGGGTAACCCCATTATCATAATTATCCACAATTCTAGCAATCCCTCTTGCTGCCTCCTGGTGTCCATACCCCAGGCAGAATGGAAATTCACCTGCTGTCAATTAGTCACTGGGTCCTACACAACAGAAACTCCTCCTGAGGCAAAACTGCCAGGATGCCCCTAAATGCCTTAATGGGCAGAGTATGAGCAAAGTGTTGGCTGGTGTGTGGGAGTGGCAGCTCAGGCAGTGGCAAAGCCTACACAAAAATACTGTTTTGTTTTTTTTTCATGTGGGATTTACTTGCCTATTTGTTTTTCTTCTACTGAATTTTGAGAAATTACTTGTCTGTTACCTGCATAGGTGATGAGACGTTTGCTCTCCTGAAAAGAGAAGCGAGAGAAAATTGAGTAGAAACAAGTTTTATAAAACACCAACCCTGTCTAAGAGGATAAACAAATTTCATGACATTCAACTTCTGTAATTTCCTTTTAGTTTTCTCCGTGATTCCCCTGTTCTTCAAGCAAGGACAATTAGGTTGGACAGACAGACAGACCTTGTTTGACTGGGGTAAGTTTGGGGGGGAATTACCCCACAATTGCTATTGCCTGAAAGCATGGATGGGGACAGGGACCCCGGGTCAGTGGGGACCTGGTGATGGATGAAGTTCTGATCTCAGCCATGTAACTTAGGGAACCCACCACAAATCCTGAAGAAACAACTTGGGGTTTCTGTTACTTCTCCCAAGAGAGTTCTCGTGGTGAAATTTACTTCGTTAATGTCACAGAGGAGAGGCCCATAGGTGTTTGGGGAGCCCTTGGTGTGATTTAAATGGAACAAAGTTCTTTGCATGAAGCGGAGGTTTTTGTCATCAAGCAACGGTACTTACAACAGAAGGATGTGATTCACGGAGAACCTCCCTGTTAGTAAAACCCTTCCGTCTTCTCTTAACTGAAACAAATAAAGCAATTTTAGAATCTCCTCTGGGTTCCAAAGAATATAATGCATCTGAGTAGGCAGCTGAGCATCTTATTCAGAGTAAGACAGGAATAAGGAACAGGGATCACTTACAGCAGATTATTGCTCCAGCTACTCCTAGTATCAGTAACGTAATTATCAAAGCAGTGGCCCACTGTGGAAATCCTGTTTCTGGTGGAACATTGGAGACATGACATGAAAGTCAGCTTAGACTTAGCTGTCAGGAACGGCCACGTGCCGTTCTACACAGGGGTGGGATTGCAAAGGCCTCGCAAAGTCCCACAGCTGCTGGGCCATGCCAGGTTGTCAAGAGGTACCTGCAGTTCCACACACGGTGTCTGAAGTCAAAGTGCATTGCTTTTCAATGACGCCACTTTCACAGCTGCAGAAAATACAAACAGAAATTGTTAGGGGGATTTGTTTCTCCTTTTATAAAACCTCTGTCAACAGAGCAAATCAGAATCTTCTAACGCTTTTTATCAGCTGAATGTTTCATATACCAAGCTGTTGGGGTCTGGAATTTAATAGGTAGGAAAACGGTATGGAAAGGTGTGAACAGTAGATCACACAAAGACAACAGGAAAGCTCAGATGCATTTTTTTCATTCCGTTTCTTAGGAAGTGTCCACAGACTTGGTGGATCTACGTAAGTTTCTCTGCGTGCCTTTGGAAAGCCTGAGTAAGTTCCACAAGCTGGAGTGCCAAGGCAAAGCAGTGTGTTTCCCCTGGGGTTAGAGATGACCTGAGCCTCTGTTGTGAAACTGGCTGGAAAGAAGCATGTGGTACGATGTAACACTGATGGCATGGGATGTGTTTAATGGTGAAGGCATAGACTTACACGGTACATGGGTTACAGTGACGACATGGTGGAGTTGAAGTGCAATAATGGTTCTCTGCGCAGGTACATTCTGTGTTCTGCTCTGGGGTACAGTTCTTTAACACTGCAAAACCTGCAATAAATTTCTTAAAGTTTGTTAGTTTGGAAAAGCAGGCCTTAAAAGCAGGTTCACAAGCTCTTCTCCTCAGCCTGACTCACTTTTAGCCCCCACCACTGCTGGCACGGGTGAGCCTTAGCTAAGAACAACTGGGGTTGACTGGGAGCCCCGGGATAAGGAGTACTTGAAATACGGTGATGGCAAGGAGACCTCTGCTGGCCAAGAGCTCCAAGACCTGGTGCCACCAGAAAGGTTTTGCTAGAAGAGGACTCACTTGGTGCTCCCAAATGTTCTCACCGGCTTTTTCCCATTCAGAACCGTGAAGCCAGAAGGAAACTCAGAAGATCATGTAACCCATCTCCCTGCCTGATGTCAGAGACAAGCTCCCTACTCTCCCTGACAGACAAGAAGTTTATTGCTTCTCGAGGACCTCCAACGGTGAGGAATTCCACTCCCTCTTTTAGCTAACACATTCCCTGCTTAAGTATCAAAAAAGTGAATTAATTTTCTCCTATCCTCAGTGTGTATGATGGAGTTATCTCCATCTAGGAAAAATTATTTCTGCATTAAAATTTACTTTTAAGTATCTGCCTACCACAAAAGCTATTTTCGCAGTCATATAGGAATAGAAGCGAATTTTTGAGTTATCCCATTTGGTGCCCTGCTGTAATGGGAAAATGCATTATCTTTCCAAATTTGATGAAGCTCTACTGTGAAACCAGTGCTGAAGCCATTCAGCAAATATCAATATATCAATATCAATGAAAATATCAAACATGGATGATCCTGAGAATGGTTCTCATGGAACTTCAGTGGTAATTTTCTGCCTCCCTAATATTTTCTACTGACTTTTCTTCAACTACCTTCTTGTCCGTGGGGATAACGTGACAAGTCATCATCCCACTGCCCTTTCTTTCCTTCAGTTTAATGAATAATTTCCTTTGTGGCACTGTACAAAAATTGTTTTGCTGTACTCAACTTTACTACCCACCCAAACCTGTTTATTATAGTAGTTAATGAGAGGAAAATTTTCTCTGTACGTGGAGTGTTCCAGGAAGGGGAAATCCCTAAAGACTGGTATTCCATCAGGTGATCTGAGTACAACCACTCGGGAGTTAAAAGCTGTCTCCCTGCTCACCAAACTTGACTTTGGAGGTGAGGAATGCGAAAGTATAATTCCCTAAATCCAGGTACACTAGAGTTACATATTTTAATATAACTAGAACAGGACACCCGGTGGAACAGTTTAATGGATTAAAAAAAAAATAAACCACAACCCCAGGATGGATATTTATGCAACAGGCAGTGAATTTCTGGAACCTTGTGTCCCCCAGCAGGTTCATAGACAAAGGGCTCGTAAATGGATACTAGAATGAGTAGGTAGGATGCACCTTCCAACATCCTTTCCCACATCCTTTGTGGATGCTGGTAGATGTTGCAGGGAACCAACCACAGAAAGCAGACAAGTTTCCTTATGTTTTCTCTAAATAGCACTATTTAGAGAAAACACCTCTTGCCTCTACTGCTGAATGCAGAATACTGGGGCAGGTGGACCACTGGCCTGACCGGGTAGGACATGCCTCATAGTCTCATAATGTGATCCTATATCCCACACAGCATCTTCAATGTATAAAAGACATCACTCTATCAGCCCCAGCAATTTTAAATAGTATTATAATTAGTAACATGAAAGGCTGTGGAAGAAACTATTGGGAATTCTCCCATCCCTGCTTCTTACAGTACTCCTTTTAAATAGAGGGTGAAGAAGAGAGTGAGCTTTTCTTCCTTGGCCCCCACCAGTTTGTACAGGTCTGCTGTGTAAGCACTGCTTTGGCTGAGCAAAGGCAGGTATAAGGAGAAATAACGGACCAACATAGCTCGTTCTTCTACCTACTTTGTGCTTGATGAAAGGGAAAGCTGGACAATAAAGTTATGACTTTGTCATCAATTCCTGCCACTAAAAGATTTTAAACTACATGCTACCCAATACTCAGGGATTGTGGAGACTTTTCACTTGAATCCTTATTGTAGAGTTGCTATTTCTATAAATGTACCTAATATTTTGTCACACATGGAGCACCTGGAACACTTGTCCAACTCATTGAAATGGTTTATGTACTCCTTTCCTTTTTCACACTGACGACAGTGTCTATCAGTATCTGTTGGACAGTCGAGTGTCTTAACATAACCTGTAGAGACAGAAAAAGGAGAATTAAGATTTGTGGTACCTCTGGAGAGCAGCCATCAGCTCCAAGACCTATGTCAGACTTCTTTAAAATCCCTAATATTTTTTTGATTAACGAATTTGGACAGAATCTATATTCTTTATGCATACGTATGTGCTCTTCAGGAATGCAGCATACGTTGGATCTGATTATCCCCCCTCTTCCTCCAATTTAGGACTGAAGAAGGACACACCAAACAAAGCTGTACAGGCAAAATTGGAATATGGACTCCGTGAGTCCTGTGGGTAAACGCCTGTGCTTGCACTTTTTAGCCCCCTTCAAAGACAGAGCTAGAATGAAGCACTGCATCCAGGAAAGCACAGTGTCCCAGCTGCCCCCACAGAAAGCTGCTCTGCGTGCTGTGGTTCCCACTCTTAATGACTTTTCAAGGCAGGGCTTACAATGATACTCACCAGGTTTGCATTTCTTGCAACACTGACCATTTAAGCTGTATTCCTCCTGATTACAACTAATTTCCCGCTTGGCAATGATCCTCCTCGTAATGAATTTACTGTGTGCTCTGCTTATTAGACGTTCAGTATGATTTTTGCACTGCATTTCCATAATTAAGACCATCACCTGGGAGAGAACAGCGAGTTAGAGGAAAGCAGCTGTCCAGGGGTGTAGGTGTGTTTCACCCCTCACCAGGAGTTACGCCGGGACCGTTACTCTATTGCTGAACACGTTGATATTCACCCCCTTAGGAAAGTTTTCATTACTTCAGAAGAGATCATGGACCATGAGGCAGACACTAGATTTGATGCTGTCAACTGTTCCACTACAGGTCCTGATGGTTTGGACAGGAACGCTTCAGAGCAGGCCAGATGTTATTGCAGCAATTACCTCATATGGCTAATTATAGTGCAAAGCAACGGAACTCACGTTGTTTTCTTAACGAGCTTTCTCTGCCTCAGATCTCTGTGCCTAAGACTGCCCTTTCTTCGCCAGCAATAATGATTTTCCATAGGGAACTGCCTTGATGCAAATGATCTCTTTCTTAATTTCTTGCCCCCCTATTGCTGCTTGAAAACTGCACAGTGTTAATGCATTTCTGAAGAAAAAAAAAGCCAGAATATTTTAATCTCAGCCAAAATACCTGATTTGTAAAATTATTTTGTTTTCGCTTTGTTTTCCAATTCAATTACTTTTCTCTTAGCAGATGATGTTAGGTGTTCAAAAGACAGGTTGATATAGTGCTGGGAGATATGGTTTAGTGATGGTGTTGCTTTTTGTTTGTTGTGTGGGTGTCTACTTTTGTCAAAATTAGGTTGACAGTTGGACAAGATGATCTTTAAGGTCCCTTCCAACCTAGAAGATTCTGTGATTCTGTGATGATGCCTATATATTCCTGAAAGAAACAGCATTCTCCTTTCAAATTAATTTACACCTAAATCCATTTCTTGGACCATAACTTCAGTTAGATGCAGGAAAAATTAATTATCTTAAATTTTAACTTACTGAAAAATGGCTTTGGATTTCAAAGTGGGCTCTCAAGTAAAGGAAGCGTTATCTGTGGGTAATTAACTGAAGTAACTGACATGACCACGGTCTCCTGACTTGTATAAGTAGCCACTTCTGTTGAGCCTCTAGTCTCTTTGGAGACGGGAAGGTGAAAAGCTTTTTTCTTTCCTTAGCAGCTCTTCTGTTTTAAAATTTATATGATATTAGTCGCTAGGCTGAAATTAAGGAGGTCTTTCTTTGCACCTGGAGGAGAAGCTTCAGCTGGCAGAATACAGTGGTTTAGCACTGGAGAAGCTGTGGGTAAGGATGCTCAGCCCCTCGCTTCCCCCCTTCGGCGCTCTGACTCCTCCTCTGCTGCCAAAGCTCTGAGGGTGCTCTTCTCTCAATCCCGGTGTAACAGCGTTAAAAGGTGAAAGTTAATGCAAGGCCTTAACAGGAGCTGTCAAACGGATGTGCCAAATGAGCGGGATTTGGTTTGCTTTTGCCTGGGAGAACTAAAAAAACCCATTGGAACAGGCTGCCCAGTGCAGTGGTGGAGTCACCATCCCTGGAGGTAGACGTGGTGCTGAGGGACATGGGGTAGTGCAGGGTTCTGTCAGCGTTGGGTTGATGGTTGGACTGGGTGATCTGACAAGTCATTCCCATCCCAGACAATTCTATGATTGATTACTTCTTCGTAATTATTTTTGAGGTGTGCATTCAGTCCCTGCAGCAGGGAGAAGCCCCACACCTCCATCCCTCCTCCACCACGTGTTGGACTGGGCTGAGGGAGGGAACAGCCATGGCATGACACTGGGGGGATGTGTTTCACCCTGGATCTCTGAGCTGGAGCATCATGACATCCCAACCAGCTTGCCCACCATGAGGCTGTGGCCAGCAGAAGGGTCCTCCGGGCTCCCTCCTCCTCGTCCACCCTCCCAGAGAAGCTCTGCACCCCCAGGGACACCCCATATCCTGCCGGCAGCACCCCAATCTCCCCTTTTAAGACCAGAGAAGTCAAGCCATTCCGTGGCAGGGTGGGGAAGACCCTGGACAACCGTAAGGAGGAGAGGGAGAGCGCAGATTGCGGCGGGGGAACCGGAATGGCACTGGTGAAGCCCAGAGCAGGCTCCAAGAAAGAAAAAGTCCAGCGAGTCTTGCAGAAAATGGGACATAATGAAAGGAGGAAACACCTCTCCAAATGACTGCTATCAGCAGAACTTGGTGGAGTTTCTCTTTGTGCTGGCTGAAGGGCTGTGAGCACCCGGGGTGTGCAGGCACCGCCGTCCCACGCCAGCAAACCTCATCTGCCTCTTGCTTGCACGGGAAGGAGCTCGGGGGGGGGAGGACACAGAAATAGCACCCTTTTGGATGGAAACCCTCCACTTTGGCTGGCGGCGATGAACTTCCTGGTGCGCTTATGAGAAGCGGGGACCACTTCTCAGAATTCGGCATCTCGGCAGCACCCAACACCTCCATCTGCTCGCAGGGAGGTCTCACACCACCTTCCTGCACCAGGAACAAGGAGAAATACTCTGGAGATTTTTTTCAGAGCAACACTTCACATTTTTTTTTTTCTTCTCCTCCTGGATTCACGATATATTTTTTTACTATATAAAAAAATTTGGCGTGTCTTACAGGAAAAAAATAATATCACTAGTCATTCAGCTTCCTGCACACACCTTAATTGCTTTCCTCATCACTGAGCAGCAGTGGTAAGGGCGGAAAAGCAGCGCTTCGGGGGCTTTTACATAGGAAGGGTGATGGGTGCTTGCTTTGGTGATGCGTGCCTTCAAACAGCTGCAGGTTTTCAGCCCAGAATGACTCACAGAGGCTCCTCTGCCACCTTGCTCATCTCAACCTAAAAACCAGCTCTCAGATCTAAACTGCAGGCTCAGGCTCAACTAAGCAGCCAGTGGGAATAAACTCAATCAAAGGGGGATATTTAACCTCAGCAGGATCCGTAAGAATTATCGCATGAGCCCAGATTTTCTGGTTTCTCTGTTTTTGCAGTGCCCAGGCAGTTAGCAGAGCTTTCTGCCCCTCCTTCCCTCCTCTCAAATGCTTCCACCACCAGGTGTCTGCTAAGGAGACCCAAAAAAGCTGTTTTCATCCGTGTTCCCTGGGGCAGAGCGACAGGAGCTTCAGCTTCTATGGAAAACTCGTGTCGTTTGGGAACTCTCAAACCCCCAATTCTTCCTGTATCACAATATTCTTTGTAACAGATCAACTTCCTTCAAAGGAAAACACACTTTGAGCAGCCCTTGCCTTACGGGAATGAAACCTCAGCTGTGGAAGCGTGTGGACATGCTGTGTGCATGCAGGGCTTCTCAAAGCTTTACAGCTTTTAACTCTGAGGGGGAAAAAAAAGGAAAAAAAAAAAAAAGATAGATTGTCTCTGCTTTCTCCTGTTATCTTTATAATGCACTTTATTTTTAGCAAAGCTCTTCTTCCATTCCTAACCCATAGATGCCTATGGATGAGAAGGCTGATGCCTTCAGAGCTCGGTGGCCTTTTTTTTTTTTTTTTTTTTTTTTCCACCCTGTATTTGTTACGTGGGGCAACGTAGCATGAGCTCATCGGGGGCTTTCTGAGCGTTAAAAAAAGGGGCAGAGGGGGATTTTTCTTGCTTTTTGGCTCAGTGGGAGCTGAGAGAAACTTCTAACTCATTTTGTGAGTTTTGATTTGCTTCTGGTACTTTTGACAAATGGTTGTTAGAGTTAGAGCTATTTTCATTCAGTTTTCTGTGTAATTCATCTCCCTCACATTAACCCCATCAGGGATTTAGAGAGTAATTAATTTCACACTGCTTGTTAGGATTCTCTCCTCCATCTCTTTTACTATGATAAGTAATTTCTACTTCCAGTATCTCCAGTACTCCAGTATCACTTTTCCCCCATCTTATTTTTTTTTTTTCCCCAGCACTTAAAAGAGTATTTTTTGTGTTCAGCAGTGGAATGTTTCCAGAGTTGGTGCCCTCGTACTTTGCACTTGAGTCTTGGGCCACCCCATGAGTTTACAGGTGTTCATATGTGTATATATATAAAAATATATATATATACACACACATGGGGGTTGCAACTAGATGATCTTTAAGGTCCCTTCCAACCCAAACCACTCTACGATTCTGTGATTTAAATGCCTGCATTAGTTGCCTGGGAAATGAGAGAAAAGGGTCAGCGCAGCAACGTAGGAGTTGTGTTTTCCATTTCCAGAGAACTGCCTGCTCCGGAGTCGTATCAGATAATTGCAAAACATTTAGGTAACGCTTCGCCCTCTCGAGATGGCCTGTGCCCCTCAGACTGTGTCTCTGACTGGTGTGTGGTTTTGCGGCCTGTTTTAGGGGTGAAGTTAGCTCATTTTCTCTCTGCGTAGGCCAGCGCTGTTTTGCAGGACTGTCCCCTGTGATGGTGCCTACTCAGGGCAACGAGGAGTTCCTTGCAAAATTGAGGTCTCATTCAACAAACTACTTTCATGTTATGAATTAAAAAAAAAAAAAAACAAACCAAAACACGGTAATTTTTAAAAAATAGAAAGTATGTGGGAGTGCGACAGTCTTTCTAAGGGGTACCGAAACTTGGGAACACGTGGGAAATAAGAACAGGAATGATATGTATTCTCTGGGAGAAGTGCGAGAAGAGAAAGCATTTTTAAATTTGAATTTATATTCTGCATAGATCCAAGATATTGAGTTAGACTGACGTTTCTGCCAGTTTGCTGCTCCTGTACAGCAATAGAGAACACACACTTCTGTCAGCAGATGAAAATTCTAGTTAAATTTGTAATTTAACTGTGCTCTGGTGCTTTGTGCAGGGCACGGGCAGAACCTGCTGAATCCCTTCAGTTTACCACCTGCTGTATAGGAAATCACATCAGAATTCGAGTCTGTCTGACCTAATTTTAACCTGCCAAACCCTGAAGTAAATAAACTACGCTCATCAGCAACTGTGACCGCACCGTGAAAGAGGTTTTCAGTACGAAATCTGGTGAGTTCTCTCTGAAAGAGGCAAGAAGTAGGGCTGGGGAAGGGATGCAAACCCCGGCCAGGCTTCCAGGGGGGTCAGGGCTTGGCTCTGCCATGGGGTGTCATGTCACCTGCCTGGTCCCCACCACCCCTGGGCTCCTGCCTGTGCCCAGGTCTCCTGCCCAGGACCTTGCTGTCCCTATGGCTCTTCCAAATACCCCTGCACCAGGGGAGCTCCCTGTGCTAAAACACCTCCTCGCCCTCCCCGCTGGCAGCAGCCCTTGGGAGTGAGTGTTTGTGAAGGTAAATTTGCTGATGACAATTAACACACGTGACCTCTAGAGCTGCAGGCTCACACTCTGCACTGGGGATGATTAAGGCAATTAAGGAAGAGCCCTGCCCTACTGCTTCCAGTAAACCCTGCGCTTCGTGCTGCTGGACTGGGGCTATTTCTCCCTTTTCCTGGGATCCTGTCGGTCAGGGTTCAAATATTCCCTTTCCCAGCTCCCTTTGCCATGGATCCCCAGGTGGGGTGCAAAGCCAGCTTTCATGGAGGCAGTCTTTGCCCGGGCAGATGCCCACTGACCCATCCACCCACGGCTGGATGCTGACCTGCCTCCCCAGTGGCTCCAGGTGGCCACGGATGGTGGCCAACGCCACTGGGGGTCGGGGACACCCCGCTTCGTGCCCTGGATGGATCCACCACATCCAGCCATGGCGTGAAGGACACCTTCCCCGACAGCCACCTCCATCCATCCATCCAACCCTCCTTTTCCCACCCTCCGCGTTCCCCCAGCACCCTAAAAAGGGAAAAACCCTAAAGCGCCCCAACTTGAAGGTGGGGTTTTTAAAAAGTGGGGGGAAAAAAAAACCGCAAAAAAACCCCAAAACGGTAGAAATGAATTAGCTGAAATATGGGGAGGGTATATATATATGTATATATATAAAAATAATAGTGGCCGGGGCCGATAAGCAGCCGGGCAGCGCCTCCGGCACCGCGTCCCCCCAGCCCGGGGCTGTCCCCGCCGGTCGCGGCGCTCCCTCCCGTCCCGGTCCCGTCCGGTGTCCCGTCCCCCGCCTCGGGCAGACACTTACGAGGAGCACGTCGAGGACCCCCCAAGCCATCCCGCCGCCTCTGCCCGCCGCCTCTCCGGTAAAGCGAAACCGTCCCGTCCCGTCCCCGCCGCCTGCCCTCCCCCGGCTCCTCCCATGTTGGTAAACACGGCCCGGGCCCGCCCCCGCTCGGCTACCGACGTGGGGGGGGGGAAGGAGGGAGGGCAAGTGGCGAGCAGGGCTGGCCATTAGTCGCCCAGCCCCGGGGGACAGTCTGTCTTCCCCCCCCCCATCCGCCCCGAGGGCATGGGACGGGGCGTCCTGCCCGGGGGCACCCCCTCGGGCACGGTTGGGGCGGGGGGGACACACACAAGGGTGTTCCGACCCCTCTTGGGGGTCGTAGGAACCGCACCGCCCTCCGGGGGGGGGGTGGCTTGGTCACTGGATGGGGCTTTGGGCAACCTGGGCTAGTGGGGTGGGCAACCTGGGCAGGGGGGGTTGGGAAGAGATGGTCTTTAAGGTCCCTTCCAACCTAACAGGAGTGGCCCTGGGGGGGTCGCTGGGCTGGGGGGGCTGGCTTGGTCACTGGATGGGGCTTTGGGCAACCTGGGCTAGTGGGGTGGGCAACCTGGGCAGGGGGGGTTGGGAAGAGATGGTCTTTAAGGTCCCTTCCAACCTAAACCATCCCATGAGTCTGCGTGTCTCAGTGGCCCGGGGCGGGGGGAATGGCCTCCCTTCCTGGGGCAGAAACCCCAGTTTTGGGGCTGATGGTGAGGGTTTGGGGCAGGGGGTGCTGGGCCCACGGGAGGGGAGAGGTTGTTCAGCCCCAGAGAAATTCCCTGCAGCAGGAGATGCTGCTGGTGGCTCCATCAAAAGGGTCTCACAAGCCTCTTGACTTTATTTCATGGCCCTTTCACTGAATTTCACTGAATTCCCAGTCACTCCTCGTGTTTTTCAGTGGTTTGGGATGCCGGGGGCCCAGGCCTCCTCCCTGGGGTTACCAACACCACCAGGGGGAAAGTGTTTTGATTTTTCAGGTTGTGAGCTGACCCCCACACCCCGGGAGGACCATGGCTGCGACTGAGCTGGCGTTTTCATTTTAAACACCCTCTTTTTCAGTGGGTTATGACTCAGATTTCCAGAAACCCTTGGGCTGCTCCACCAGCATGGCTCTCAGCTGCCGGGCAGATAATCTGGATTCGCGATGCTGTCAGCAGAGACACAGCCATGCGCTGGCTGTTTTCAATATTTCAGGCTTTTTAACCACTTCCGGATAACCCCAAATGGCGCCTTTGCAGAGATGCTGCCTTTGGAGCATCCTTTAACAATTCCATTTTTTTGCCAAAAGGAGGAAGGAGAGGCAGCTCTCTGGGGTGCACTCCCCTTATTCCTTCTGGGCAAACCTCAGTAATGTGCCCCGGGGCTGCTAATTTTGGGGGAAATTTGCCCCGTGGGGAGGGGCGGAGCAGGGACGGGGAGCGGCATTTTCCGGGTTGGGGTGGCAGCCGCAGCAAAAAGCTCAGCAGAATTGTTTCCAAATTCACGGGTTTGTCCTCAAACTGAACCCCTGACGTGCCTGGGCCCTTGGCAGATGGTGCTGGTTGTTTGGTGGCACCTCGTTGTGCTTCTGGCCCCTCGTTTTCTGCCATTTTCTGCTAACGACTGGGCGCATGCGCTCTCCCCGCCGCCCCGGGGGGGTGGGGGAGACTGCAGAGATAGCAATATACATATATATATGTTTGTTTTGCGGTGGAGTGTTTTTGTCTTGGCCGGGAGCTCTGAGAGGTGTTTGAGAAGCTGCCAGATTCTTGTCAAAACGATAGTGTCTCGTATGACTTGGAGTCTCGCCTCCTGCAGTTCATAACTGTAGCTCCTTGAGGTTTGGTTTGGTTTGTTTTTTAATATATACATATATATATATATATAAAAGGGATACAAACCAAGAGACAGCAGTGTGTTTGGAGGATGTTTTTGTTTGTGGTTTGACTATCCCGAGCTGGTATCGCTGAGCCAAACGCTACCAACCAGTGTTCTCCTCTTTGCACCGTCCCTTGGGTTGCTGCAGGGCTTTTTTTGGCTGGTAAAAGTGCCAGTTTGGGCTGTTTTCTTTCCCCACCCTCACCTACAGCTGGAATCAGGAGCACAAGGCTCTGCTCTATTTTTCTTACCAGCAGATGGCCTTGCCCCGTTCCTGATGTGCCAAGAGGGATCCCACCAGGGTGGCATCCATCTCCAGGAGCAGGCAACGCAGGGAAGAACAGCTCTTAGGTTCCTTTGCAGTTCCACCTTTAAAAAATATAAGGTTTTTGGAATTAAAGTGAGGTTTTTGATTTATTTCCTGGGCTGGTTTGATTATTTTATTTTTTTCTCACTATCATTATCCCATGTCCACACACGTGCACGGGTCCTAGGAAATTCTGTCCAAGGGAGCTGGAAGAACACCCGAGGGATAATTTTGGACACATTCGAGGGATGATTTGGGATACACAGGACTCTGGGAGTCACTGCCTTGGAATCTGTGCTCGTGCCTCACCCGGCATCAAACCTCTCCTTCCCTCCCCAGAGCCCTGCTCCCGCCCGGAGAAACGGGCTCCATCGGAGGGTTAGGGTCTTAGGAATTAATAAGTTTTTGGGAAAGCTGACTTAATTCATCTCTGCAGGTGAAGGAAAATTTGTCAAGGTGAAAATAAGACACGACCAAGGCCCCAGAGGCCTGTGCCATGTACTGGGCGCAGCTCAAAATGTTGAATCCATATTTATATTCCAGAAGGAAAATAACAGGGACAGGGGTGAGGGAAAGCATAAGGTCTGACCTGCTTTCAGCTACTTCTTCCTTTGTTAAATTGTTACAGATTTATTTTTTTAAAATATAAATACACTGTTTGGGTTTTTTAAATACTGGGTTTAGATTTGTTTTGGCGTATTCATAATTATTTAACAGTTCTTTTGTGCTAAGATCGGGCAGTTAGATTAATGTAGTGCAATTTAACCAAAGTAGTACCATCAAACTTAAAATTTTCTTTACAAGACACATTAGAAGATTATTGCTACACAGGAGACTTAATATACCTTAATATAAGGTACACCTTATATAAATATACCTTAACAAACGTAGGAGCTGTTGAATTTGTTCTGAACTCCTCACTGCAATTGTCTCCCATTAGCTTTGCATTTTTTTTGTCTTGTATATGTTGAGTTATTCCTCTCTCTTTTAGCAGATACCAAGTTTGCCTTAAAATGTGGATTAGGGGACACAACATTTTTATTTGGACAACTTGTTTTGGCTGGAAAAGGAGAAAAACAGGTGAGAATAGAGCATCTATGTTTTGGAGATACTTAAAATGAAAACGTTTTGTTATATGATTCATGTTTTGTGAATAACCTGAAGTTTAAGGGGAAGGGGGGTAAAGTTTAAGTAGTTACTCATCAGGCCCAAGGCAGAGTCTTTTTTTTTTTTACTTTCTCTCTGCATTTTGGGGTGTTTTTTTCTTTTTTTTTCTCTGCTTTTCTGTTTTGCCTCCCCCCTCCCTTCTCATGTGTTCAGAACGACTTTAATGTTGACTTTTGGTTGAAGTATGAGCCCGAGTAATCCGTTCCTCAGGCTGCTGCCTTGCCTCTCCTTCCTCCTGGGAGGGCCAGAAATGATCAAAACCCCACCGTAACTGTTGGGTATTTTATGGAGCAGATTCTGACAATGCCATTTTACCTTTCTCCCTTTCTAAGGAACTTCTGGTAATCGCCCAGGTTTGTGGTGCAGTGAAGGGTTCTTCTTGGCTGGACAATGTGGTCCCAAAGCACCGTGGTGGCCCAAGCACCCCGTTGGGCAGTGGATGGAGAAGATGAGATGATGACGTAGACGTAGGGAAGGAGCATGTGATTGGAGGTTTGTGAACCCCCTGTGGGATTGTTTTTTTTGGTGATGGTGCTGCCTGGTGTGACATCAGATCAGATGGAGGACTTGGGGCAGGCAGCACGGTCCGATTAGAAGTGACAGTGATGTGATACCCGGCCCTGGGGAGCCTAAGATCCTGATGTTTACCCAAAAAAAACCCCCACACTAGCAACAAAGAGTGAAAACACAACAAACCCGAGTGGAACAAAACAGGGTGGAAACTGAAAGTCGTAGCGAGTGGCTTGTCCCCTCTGACAGCTCTCCTCTGGGATGGTGATGGAGGAATAGTCCCCATCTCTCTAAAAGCAAGCTGAAAGAGGTGCCTGGCCTTCCTCTGGCAGTTCAGCTTCTTGCCCCAGCCCTGGGTTCACTCTTTTCTCCAGCAGACCCTGTTTGGTGACGTCAATGCATTCTTCACAGCAGGGGAAAAAAAAAAAAATAACAAAAAACAACAAACCATTTTTCAAATAAACTGAGCATTTCCTTCGACTGGGAAAGCAAACTGGCCGGGAGCCTGGTGGCTCCCACAGCCAATCCCTGTAACCTTACCATAAATGTAGATGTGTTTCTATCTTAGGGCTGGCTATTGACTTTATTTTAGCCCTGGGACCATCCTGTCCCAGCCCCCTGCCCTCTGCCAGCGGGCGCTGAGATCCCCAGCCCTGCATTATTTGGCAAATAGATGGCACATCGCAGGGGCTCGCTTAGAATTGGACTTTGTGACTCGGTATTTCGTAAATGCATCTCATATAAATGTTTCACAGAGCTCTGTCTCCACCCAGAACTCACAGTTTAGCTTCAAAGGCCCCCCCCTTTTCTTTTTTTTTTTTTTCCAGGCTCACTGCTCTTAGCTGTTTGTCGAGGATGGTATTACTAATACTAAGACTATGCCTTAGACTTGTAAAACCTGTTGTGCAGCAAATACTAACTGTCAGATGTGTAAGGGATGAGCTGTAAAAGCTCTTGAGATAACGTGCTGGGGAGGGGAGGGCGGATGTTCTCCAGGGTTGGGCGAGGAAGGGCTCAAAGGCTCTCCCTTGCTGCCCAGCCAGAGCACCACTCATTGACTGTCTGAATAGTGGCTCCTTCCTGCTTTTGTGAGTTAAATCTGAGGCTAAATCCTCGCACTGAGGATGGGAGAGGAAAGATCTGTAGAGAAATGCCTGGAGTTTAGAGGAAAATGTGAGTTAAAGGAGGTCTTTAGTTTTGCTTT